ATAATAGACATGAATAAACTATCAATCCAAACAATGTGGTCAAGAGTATTGTATTAGAGAAAGACAGTATTGCATTGTAATCCTAAACTGAATAGGTTCTTCACCTCTTCTGATTAGCTTGGGTAACTGCTAGGTGTCACTCATGGTTTGTGGAAGCCCTAAACGTGTATAATCACTAAAGGGAGAATTGAAAGTAAGTTTCAATTCACAATCGATTTGAAAGAGTTCTAATCGCCCACTGTCTCGCTAAAAGGAACCTAATGGATCGTACACCGAGTAAGGTAGAGATTGAAGAAACAATGGAGATGAGTAAGGATAATTAAATGGTTTAATTATTTATGGCAAGGATTAATTAATATGTTAATTAATCAAACGAATAAAGTTCGTTAAAAGACCTTGGGTTAGTTTTGGGCCTCAAGGCCCAATGGGCTTCGAACGTCAAGCCCATTGACTTAAGTTGTATGACAACTTAATAACTAATAATTCACAAAGGCCCAAATAGCCCAATAAAACCCTATGGCCGGCCATATTGATAAAGGAGTGGGTTTTGGACTTATTACAAGTTTGCCACTCCAATGAAGGTAGGTATAAATATGACTTTATAGCCTTTTCTTCATTAGGGTTTTCTTTTGGAGAAAATTGGAGAGAACATGTCTCTCCTTTCTCTCTAAGAGGCCGGCCCCCTTGGAGGAGATTAGCTAGCAATCTCTCATCCTCCAAGGTCACTCCTCTCTTCTTCAAGTCTCTCCTTGGTGTGGAAAAATTAGAGGTTCTCTATTTTGAGAACTTGGAGAATCTTTTATACCATCCTCCTCCAAGAAATCGATGGATCTAAGAAGCAAGGAACGAATGCCCTCTCCTTGGGTGATTAGCCTTTGCTTATGCAAAGAGGAATCAACAAAGGTATAATATTTCTCAACTCACTTTGTTCTTGAGTTGAGTCATGGTTCACCTAACTACTGGGCATTGAATTTCATGGGTTATGTTTTGTTTTGAGTGCATACAAGCATGATTCCGCCTTTAATTGTTAATTGCATGCTATAGATGTTGCTCAAATGAACATGTTTTTCACAAAATTTCCTTCAATTTATTCATACTTTCATTAAGTATAACATAAGATTATGCAGTATTCACTAGTGTAAATATTTTAAATTGAAGATCGAGCTCATTCATTGTATTCATATAGGGTCAAGGAGCATAGCTATAAAAAATCATCAAAATTAGAGTTAAAATAACTGTTAAATCGTGATTTTTCGTTGATAACCGTCGAAAAGTTTTGTCCCGTTACTTGATCTTTGAATGTTTGTTTTTTGTGATTTTTTGCTGTTGCGATTTCGAAGCATATACAAACAAGTTTGACGGTTGAATCATTGAAATTAGTTTTGTGTAATTCGTATCCCATCAAGTTCAGTGGTGTTTCTATATATATATATATATATATATTTTTTTATTTATTAAGTAGATTTAAATTTATTTATTTTGTACATATAACTCTTAAGAAATTGAATGATATGTATATTTAAGCCAATCCAATGGTGTGTAAGAAAATTTTTTATTTTTGTTTTTGAAATAGAAGGAGAGAGGAAAAGAGTGATAGAGAATGTGGGAGTGGGAAGTTTTTTATTTTTTATTTTTTTTAAATTAGATATATGTTAGTATTACATGTAGGTAAGGCTTTGAAAAAAAAAAGTAAAATTTAGTTGTGTGAAATTACATTTATGCCCCATATTTCTTATTCATGTTCTGTTTTAATTAGAGGGTTAAACTGGTAATTTCATAGGGTTTTGATTGACAATGTGTGTTTTATTAATTAGTATAGATGCATAATATAGGGTTTTGGTTGACAATGTGTGTTTTATTATAGTTTTTAGGGGTATAAAATTGTTAAATTAATATATATAATTATTATAGCATTTTTTAGGGTTATAAAATTATAAAATTAATATTTTGTTTATCGTGTATCGTGTTACCCACGTATATACCTGAACCAACCCGTTATTTTAACAAGTGCTTATCGGTTTACCCGATAACGACCCGATTCGGTATCGTGTCGACCCGAACACCTATTAATTTCGTCTCAGGTTATCGGACCGTGTCAAGAATTGCCAGGCCTACCCTCATGCCTTCCCCTATTTTCCTTTCTCATTCATTGCTTGCCATGTGGATTTCATTATCACTTAAAATTAGGTAATTAATAGGAAATTTGGAAGACTAGCCAAATTTTAGACTATGAAGAAATTTTAACCAACTACTATAACTTTTTATAATTTTAACCAAAATTTGACATGAAAATACTACAATACCCTTTATTAACTAAAACTAACATTTGCCTACACACTTTGTGTGTATGAACATATTTTTTTTTAAATGAGAAGGAGGGAGGGAGGGAGGGAGGAGTGGGAGATTTTTGTTTTTGGTTTTTTATTTTATTTTATTTTATTTTTTTTTTATGAGATTTCAATAAAAACCAGTAAAATGTGGACCTATGAAATTATATTATTGCTCATCATTTTTTTTTTTGTGATAGAAGATTAAATTATCTTTTCACCCTCTTTTGGTTGACAAAGAGGGTTTCATTAATTAGTAAAGATAATTAGAAACTACTACAACATCAAATTCCTCTCCCGTCTTTCTCTTAAAACTCACCTCACTCGTGATGTGGGTCTCTTTTTAACAAACTACTGACCGGCTTCCTTGCCGTGGATCAGCTGTCGATGCAAAAGGGAAATTTGATACCTCGTTCTCCTGAGATAGGTGTATTTGAAATGATTTAGGAATCTCTTCCACCTGAAAAGGTAAAGGTTCAAAATCAATACAATGTAAGAGACTGCAAACACCAGCAACCAACCTTCATAGTTAATTACTTATTTACAATTTTTTAGTCGGCATTGTTTGTGTACTGATATTTGAATTTATGGTCGCAGTTTTTGAGTCTTCCCTGCAAAGCTTTGAACAAGCAGAGCAAGAACATAGCAGCCGGAAGTATCAAAGACCCAAAACAAAGGAAATTTTAGCAAGGATGAAAATGAAAAATCCACACCATCGAAAAGAGATTACATTCTTTAAATAGTATCCATACTTGGAACCCGCGGGACTCAAGGTCTCTTGGGCAAAGCAAAGAATGAAAAATCGAGAGAGAAAGACTGCACAATGTAGAATTAAATATACCCAAATATTAGTCTTTAATTTCAAAAATGTCAATTTTTACAAAATTTTGAAATATATCTAAAATCTCACTTAAGTTGACACAAATACCCTAAAACTTTAAAACCAAATAAACTAAAAAACCAAAACCCTATCAGATGAAGAATTTCTAACATTAAAACCTAAAAAGTGGTGGCGACATAGTGAAGGCATCGGCTACTGGTGGAAACTTGTGCAATCCTAAACGACAATGAGTGTAGATGGTTAATTTTAATTTTAATTTTTCCTCATCTACGTTTTTTGTTTCTTTTTAATTTCTTTTCATGTTTCTGTCGTCTTCTTCTTTGGTTTCGCGCATTTTTGGGTAGGCTGGAGAAATAGATAGTACTTAACTGTGGTTACACTGATTTTTGGTTCTTTGCTGTCAGTTTGGAGTTCCATATGTATCTGTCTTTGTAATTATGGCAATTGGTCTAGGTACAAAAAGACAAAGACAAAGACAAAATGCAGATGGAGAAAAATTAGAGTGTGATAAAATTGTCACAGCCCGTCCCGAAGATGTATATTATTTTATTCTTGATGATGTGAAATGACGGAAATACCCATGGACGTTAAATTGTGTGATGTAGTTTAAGTGTTGTGTATGGATCACTATTCTCAAATCCTAATTGTTTGGGACCAATTAGGATTAAGTAATTGTGTATTTTGGGTTGTTGACCAATCCTAGACCACACACACACATCCACATCACCTTATCTTTCTCACTCCCCTACTCTCTCTCGGTTTCACTCTCTCTCTCCTTCGAACTCGTACGGACAATCACCCAAAACCCTTGATACTTCACGGATCGTGATCAAAGTTGGCACCATTGTGTTCGTGAAGCTCAGACAAGTCGATTGGTACCCACTTCAGGTAAGGATACCTTCGAAAACCCTAGTTTTTCATAACCCTCGATTTGTGCACTGTTCATGCACACATAATTATGGATGTTTTTGAAGGAATTATTTTGTGAAAACATGTTGGTTTGAGCAACATCATATAGCATGCAATTTAACAATTAAATGCGGAATCATGCTTGTATGTACTCAAAAACAAAACATGACCATGAAATTCAAAGCCTAGTAGATTGGTGAACCAATAATCAACTCAAAAACAAAGTGAGTTGATAAATTTACCTTTGTAGATTCCTCTTTGCATAAGCAAAGGCTAATCACCCAAAGAGATAGGGGCCTTCATTCCTTGCTTCTTCTTAGATCCATGGATTTGGATGGAAGAATAGGTTCTCCAAGTTCCCAAAATTGAGAACCTCTAATTCTCGACACCAAGGTTCGATTGTAGAA